GTTTTTCTACTATCATATATCTATAAATACATACACGTATATATATATATATATATATATATATATATATATATATATATATATATATGTGTGTGTGTGTGTGTGTGTGTGTGTGTGTGTGCGCGCGTGCGTACGTGTGTAAAATAAAGAGTGGCTGATTCAAATAGCGTTCAAATTTCTATGATAAATGCAGAAGTGAAATTACGAATCCAAACAGCCACCCCCAAGCGCCACCATATTCGTCGTCTTGTCAACGCCAACACGTTTTTGAAATCTGCAGTTGGTGACTTGTAAAAAAAAATTGTCGCTTCTATTGGAACCCTTTTGAAAAAAAAAAAAGACCGAACTGATCTTATGGTCTCACACAATCTCCATCTGTTCCCTAATCCCTATCAACACATTCTGGGAATCTTCCCATATGTCAATCAGGATTCAAATGAGATTAACACTTTTATGGAGATTTACGAGATCACGTACGAGATCATGACTCATCGTACTTTTAGCTTCCTTTGTAAACTGACATGACATCTTACCAGTGATTTCGATAGGCTGGTTGCTTGGTTGATTTTATTTAGCGACACAATACTATAGGTTAATTAATGGCGAAATTTAAATATTTTGAACGCAACTGTATGCCTTCATCTACAAATAGGTTTAGGTGAGAGAAATGTGAATGTTGTCGGATGTCTAATACATTAAAGATACATTTCTTGGTGACATACACACACCATAGACGATCTAATGTTAAAGATCAGAATAAGAGGGAGGGAGAGGAAAGGAAAGAAGAGGTGGGGAGAGAGATGGGGCGGGGGGAAACTAAAACTGAAGAGCATTTACTGAAAGGGCCGCTGTGTAATTAAGAAAATTAGTATGTGTATATTTTCCACTAAATACATCCGACACTTAAACCTCTTCCTCCCCTCTCTAAAACTTCTCTCTGTTAAGGTTTAATCTCCCACCTTCTCTCGTCTGTTACCCTCTCTTTAGCTCTAACATTCATCCCAAACTCTCATACTTACTCTCTCTAAATTCTATTTTTTATTTCCGGAGTTGTTTTTTTCTGTTTTCTTTTTTTTAATTTGTAGGTCTGATGAATTGGATCGTATTTACGATTCCAATGGAATAAATTATGACCATGGAATATTATTATTTAAGCCTTTTTATTATATCCTTACTCTGTCCTGTACATTGAGTTCTACCTGGATTCTATCCTCTTGGAATCTTTTATTAAAAAATATACATGTATGTGTATGCACCTATGTATATATATTTATATATTTGGCATATGTATGTGTATATTTTCCACTAATATTATATATATATATATATATATATATATATATATATATATATATATATATATATATATATTTGTATGTATGTATATATAAGGCTCAAAATACTAATATTCCATGGTTATAATTTATTACATTGGAATCGTAATCACGATCCAATTTATCAGATTTAGAAATTCAAAATGAAATCGAAAATATAACTCCGGGTATAAAAAAAAAAATTTAGTGAGGTGTGTATGTGGGAAGTGGGAAACAAGTGAGAGGAAATGTATGAAAGTTCTAGAGAGAGGTGTAACAGAAGAAAGAAGAACAGGAAGGCCTAAAAAGGGAAGGGGGGGAATAAAATTTAACAGAGAGAAATTTTAAAGAGAGGAGTTAAATAACGGTTTAAATGAGTGAGATACAGATAAATAGGAATTATTTTCAGATGCATAATTCGCTACCGATTTGCTGGCCATAAAATTAAAATTAAAAAACAGACACCGGAAACGTGTGGATACATTTGTGGTGACACTATGCACAATAAAAAAAAAGATATAAATCTAAACTTAAAATCCAGCCAATTCATACTGCCAATGTATATGTGAAAATCTTCCGTCTGCTTTGCATTACTAAGCTTATGTATACAAGAAAAGAGAAGATGAGACAAAACTAAAAACGAGGGCATTTATAAGAGAAATGATGTGTAATCAAGAATTAATTATATATATATATATATATATATATATATATATATATATATATATACAGGGCTACAGGATTGTAGGACGCCCATGGTTACATATACAAAGACAAATTGAAAAGCAATTTGTCAGCAGTCAATATACCACATAACACCCTTGAGCGCTTAGCCTTGGAGTGGGTAGAATGGAGATCAACCTGTTTTAGTGGACTCGCCAATTTTCAATCTGCTTGTCTAAATCATCTTCAAGAAGCGAGAGCAAGATCTAAAAGGTCAGTCAATCTAACAGTGATCTCCTCTCACAATCCTCACACTTGCTCCATATGTGGCCTCCTTTGTAAATCATTAAGTGCCACTTAAGATTAATGCACAAATTTTTATAACTGAATCAATTAAGCTGTAAGATCCTCATGCGTCAAAACAGACGGGTGACTCCATTATATATATATATATATATATATATATATATAATGAATAGAATACACACACACACACATATATATATATGGATAGATGAATACACACACACACACACTCACACACACACACACACACACACACACATATATATATATATATATATGCAGGTAAAATTTTATAGAACAAATGGAACATGATTCTTTTGTACTTCATAATTAATTTAAAAGATGGCTCAATACATAATAGAACTAAATATTATTTATTTTAGGACATCAAAACATATTAAAAATCGCAACAGAATGACAATTATGTTTTGACTTCATAAATGTGTCTCTTCAAGCGATGCTAATCTACCATCGCCTGAAGAGACACATTTATATATATATATATATATTATCATAATATTGCAATTATTAATATATTTAATATATAAAATAAATCATATATATATATATATATATATATATATATATATATATATATATATACTAAAAAATGAGTATATAACGTTTATCAATCAAGCGTTTTTTAACTTTTGTTCAAGCTTCATCATAAAATGAGATACGGGAAAAAAGAAGCAAAACATTCTGGTATTTTTATTTTCGTGTTTGACATTCTTTCGTTAATCCTGTTTAAACAAAGTTAGTAAAATTTTTGGCATTCCGAATACAAGGAGAGACGACACGCCTTTTCGAATTTCCAAGAAATTAAATATATTCGCTGAAAACAGAAAAAATATGTAAATATTGCTTTACGTATGTAAGTGTATAATAATTCTGGCTTTTCAATGTAATAATCAGATATATATATATATATATATATATATATATATATATATATATATATATATATATATGGTATAGGTTTCATGGGTTTTCGATGTGTTGATATGTTCGATTTGGAATGTTGAAACTTTGGATGGAAGAGTGGGGTGAAATGACAAAAAAGAAAGTGTCAACAGTCCCCATCTGTTCACAATGTATCTGCACAGACGTCTGGTATATTCCAAAGGCAATTCAAAGAATTTTAACATTTCTCTCGAAGAAAAAATAAGCTAAAAGTGACTGCCATGAAATCGTTAAGCGTTATTTTGCTTTAATGGGTTATTTAATGCCGACAACATTTTTAGGATAGGTTCGTATGAATAGAATATGTATTCTTTGTAAGAAATCAGTTTGTAAATCAGGCTTTGGGTTTATTTTGTTTTACGGCTTATCAACCTCAATTGGTTATTTAATACCGACAAGATGTTTTTAGCATAGTTTCGTATGA